AGAAATACCTGTACTTTCTACTTCTTACATGTTGAACACAAATACCTGAACTTTCTACTTCTTACATGTTGAACTCAAATACCTGTACTTTCTACTTCTCACATGTTGAACTTAAATACCTGTACTTTCTACTTCTCTCATTTTCCAAACAGGCTGGTTCCTTTAGTCTGAATGTGTGTTTGGTGGCGTGATCATTATTATTTAGAGTCATTGCGTGCCTATTGATTTGAACACGATCCGTGTATCCATCATTTCCTGGTCTTCTCTAAAGAAGAGGGACCAATGAAAACGTTGTCATGTTGCCGTTGTTCAGCATGGAAACATTCATTAGCTAACAATGACATTATTGTTCTATTAATATAAAGGGAGGTCAGGTACTCTTTAAAACAGCTGCTAGTTATGGGTACTTTTTACTGAAGTACATTTCAAAGCCTCTTTACTTTTAATTGAGTAAAGAAGTTTAGTCAGTACTTCTACTTTCACCAGAGTATTTTTAAACACGAGTATGTGTACTTCTACTTGAGTAAAGGATGTGTGTACTTCTTCCATCTCTGCTGACGATAAAAACAAGAAAACTGAACATCACAGCTTCACAGTTTCTTTAGTTTTCTCTTACTCTACCGGACTCCACTATAATGTATATAATATCCTGTGTGCTGTATTTCTTGAGTAGTAGAATGGTCTATTAAGGAGTATTGTAACTTATTCTGTTGTATTACATACTTGAAGATCAAAGATGAACAAGAATATTTGTACAAGAAGAATAAAAGGGAATTGTCTTTGAGGCTTAACCGGAAACATTTCCTCCACTTTTAAGCATTTTTGTCAGTTTTCCAATGCTACACCAGTGGAATGCTAACCCTAACCCTAATGTTCCAGTTAGGGATCAATCAAGTATTTCATTTAACCTAATCATTCAACACATGTTCCTCTGGTATGAGTAAGTGTTATGTTCTCCTCTCCTCACCTGCATGCTGTGTTGCGGCTGCAGCAGCAGGGTCTGGCTCTCTGCAGTGTTCGGGTTGCTGGAGCTGCTGCTTTGGACTCTAGTCTGCGGCCTGAGCACTACAAATGGATCCCGAGCCCCCAGTTTGAAGCGTAGCGGCATCTCTGAGTTGTTTGTCAGCTGAAGGGCCCGCGTGACGTCAAAGTCCCGAACGAGCAGCTTTTTCTGGAGCAAAACAACCAGAGAGTGACGAGTGAGAAACACTGTCTGGGATCAATACTGTGTACTTCAGTGTGTGCTTCTCAGACTGACCTCCTCTGATTCTGCCGTCAGTAAATCACCGGCCGAGGCGTGAAACTGCAGCGCCCCCCCCTCCTCCTCCATCTGCACCGACAGCCTGCAGACACACCGAGCCAAGAGGAAGACATGCAACTCAATCAGACCACCTCTGAGCCCCTCGTCCACAACGTCAGCTGATTGCAATTTAGGAAACATAAATAGAGTTGGAAGCTTTCGGGGTGTTTTGGGGACTCAGTGTGATTGTATTTGCTCACGCTGCAGGCTTAACGGCTGCCAGTAGATCCACTCTGAGCGGATCCAGATCCAAACCCTGAGCTCTAATGACTTTACCCGGGACACAGGCAGCCATCTGTAAACACACACAATAATGAGGGTTTCATTAAAGTCATTTTCACTTTGCTTCTCCAGGATTTTTAATTAAAGAGGACGTATTCTGCTCATTTTCAGGTTCATATTTTTCTCTACTGGGACATGTCTTCATGCTTTAATGTTCAAAAAGCTCTTTATTTGTCTCATACTGCCTGTGCTGCAGCACCTCTTTTCACCCTCTGTCTGAGACCAGAGCCCAGTCTGTTCTGATTGGTTAGCTGGCCGTCTCTGTTGTGATTGGTCAACCGCTTAGAGATGTCCCGCCCCTTAGCTTATCAAGTTCAATAGATAGGCGAAGTCACGCCCATCTACTTCCGCTCCATGGGACCTTATTTCGGAAAAATTATGTATCGAAGTCAATGG